AAAAATTGGCGACGCCAATTTCGTAGCTACAAATGTTAAAAAATACAAAACAAAGACGAAAAACACTTACCTTGAATACTTTGTCGTGGCTTAGGCATGTTTTTAAAACAATTAGACCAGTTTATGCTTCAATATTACTCTTTTGAAGCGGAAAATATAGCGAAACAACAAAAATGCTAAAAATTTTCGCAATACACATGACGTCACAGATTGCAACTAGGTTTAGACTGTGACGTCAGGAAGTTTCCTATCCAGTTATTTTACAATCCATGGTTAAATTAAGCAGCACATAATCATATTCATATGTTGAACAATACCAAAACATTTTAGTAAATAACTTCCCATGCATAAAATTCGATTCGATAGATTGGGAGGTGCCTTCAAATAACTTTCCTGAACTTGAACTTTAATTGTTTAAAATTATCAGAAGGACATGTAACTAGAGGGCACTCGGAGTGCCGCCAGCTAATTAAGTGACGTATCATGTATAAATTATAACAATGGGCCAGGGGTCGAAATTTAAATTTTTTTGTACTATACAGCCGGAATAGTAGATTTTTATATTTACTATTCCGTCTGAAGATCCACTATAATTCCTTAATGTACTGTTTCTGAGAGCCATGCAGGGTCCGCGCCGCTAATTTTCTGTTCATGCAGCTGGGTCATCGCTAATTTTCGTCAAATATATCATCCTTGAGACTCCTAAAGTGAACTGAATAATTGAATAACAAAAAATAAACATGTACAGTGCATTGCTCAGTGATGAACAAATTATTAATAAAATACAAAGTTCATAATGAACTGGCGAACGTTCTTGCGAATTTCGCCCCCAATTTCCGAACTGCATGGGAAACGTAATTGGCAAGTTCGCAACAAACTTGGGAACCGCGCGTTGAAAAGTGACTTGAAATCGACAATAATATTGCTGCAAAGAAATTAGAATATGCAAGTACTACAAGCGAACAAGAACTTAGCTACGAAGTGGAACAGTGGCTCAAAGTCCGGTATAAAGTGATATATTATACAACAGGAAAATCCTTGCTTGTCGATATTTGGTACCACAATTTTTTCTACTATACAAACGGAATACTGTGATCATGAAGTTTGCTATTCCGTCAGGCATTTTAGTATATTCGGAATAGCGGGAATTTCGACCCCTGTGGGCTAATTACGCATTCAGTTTATACTCTGCCCCACAAAACAAAGCAAAATCTTGCTAATTTTGTCATCCAAGTTTAACCAAAATTAAATAAATTTGTCCTTGGGCAATGTCTATTAGTCCCACAAATTTTCGTGTTAATCATATAGAGGGCAAAATTACTCAAATACAGGGGCGAAACTAGCCCCTTTTAATTAGGGGGTGTCTGCAGAATTGCCCTGCCAAAACCAACGATGCCCTGCAGCGCCAGCGCTAATACAATACATCACTAAGCTACGTGTATAATTGAACTGCCGATGCCGAATGTACATGCATACGAACTGCTTATTGTTTGCTAGCTGTAACAAGTTACTTAATAACTCTACATTCTATCATTTAAAATCTTTGATTGCCCTGCCAATCGGGATAATTCGTTGGTTTTTTTTGGGGGGGGGTTGGGGGGGGGGGGTTCCACACCATCCCCCACCCCTCAAGTTTCGCTCCTGCTCAAATATGATTGGGTAATGATAAGGGCATTTTTTCTTAATTCCCCTGAAATTTTCTTAATTTACCCGATTGGATGAGACGCAAGCGCGGGAAGTTTCTTGTTTTAAATAGTACATAAAAACAATGGCTTCTCGGCGCTTTGTCGTTACAGATAATGATGTTATTGAAAAATTAAAAACTTCTAGTGAAAACTTGAATACTAGAAAAAGTACAATTTCATGGGTTGGAGTATTTAAGAAATGGGCAACATTAAGGAACAACGGCGAAGACATGGAGACATAAGAGGTTCAAGAACTTGACAAGTTCACACATATTACTTAACTTACGAATAAATTTTGCCCTCTATGATTAACAAGTAATCGCACAGTTCCTTGTAAAATTAAGCTTTAATTTTAGACGGCCCCATGCGATTACCTATACTAATATTGAGTAATATGTTTTGATATTTTTTTTAACTTATCGGGCTGGCAGACAAACACAGACACACATACAAACGCGGAGGTAATTACGTTTGTGAAGCATGGAAATGCTGGCTATATAATGAATATTCCTTAAAACTAATACCATTTCAACTTACACTTGCACAACAATAAAGCCAACTGCAGATCTCACTTTTGCTGCCACTTCCTCAAGTTCCGCTCGATATCCCTCAGGGTCCTTTAGATCCTTCACAAACATATACACTCGATTGATCGGGATTGATACCAAGTCTTTATTTGTGTACGGGATTTTCTTGTCCTCACCAAGGATAATCTAGAACAACAAAAAATATCCCTTCTAAAAACATTACATATGAACTATAAGTTTCACGAAAATAATGCCTAAAGTTTATATATGAAAATTAATTTCACAATGTGAAATTATTATTTCATATACGTGGACTTGCATCAGGCCATAAGTGAAAAGGCAATATGTAAAATGCTTTATTTAAAGAGTGAGTATCATGCCAGTGATCCTTTGCACGCCTGTGTTTACATTTTATGTTTACATTTGGCTGCATCTGATGAATTTGCATAAAAAACGCAACATTTCACAAGATATAAGGGAGTGGTCATTATTTATGGGGTGGTAGGGAGTGGATGATTTTGAGGATGGGTTACAAAATTTTGAAGGTTGCTGAAGGAGGGGTTATGTTGATTCTTAACTTAAAGAAGGAGGGGTTACTAGAAAAATAGTCTTAAAACAGTTTTGATAAATAATTAAAAACAAACAAAATAACTAATGCACAAACAAAATAATTGATACATAAACAAACTTGACAAATCGAAATAATTGTTAAATATTCGACGAAGGCGAGGAAATTATTGGTGAATAAAAACCGAGATGAAGTCAAGGTTTTTATTCACGATACTCACCGAGCCTGAGGTGAATAATTGTTTTAGTAAAATGTCGTAGGTGATTATTTGGGAAAAAATAAAAAATACACCGATTTCTTCGTCATCTAAATTGACAAAACGGCTTCTGCCGCCATTTGAAAACCGCTTAGGTGATTATCACGTTATATAAAATCGCTTCAACGGCAACCAATCAGCGTGGAGAATTTTCAATAATCACCTATGTAATTATACTAAATTGTGTTATCACATGCAAAGCGGTAAAACAGACAACTTTAATCTCAGCCCTTATATTAAATTTATAAAAATCTAGTGCGCCAAAATAATAACGTTGGTCTTATTTTTTAATTTTTTTAAGTGCAAGGTCAATAGAAGACTTTTTGTTTCAAGTTGAAATTACAATGTTAAAACTCAACGTTTATTTTGTTTTAATTTATGTTTATACTGTATTTGTTAAAACGATTTCCTTGAGGAGGGGTTGACATTTTTTTTGAACGTGTGAAGGAGGGGTTGTGAATTTCAACAATTGCTCAAGAGAGGGGTTATGGAAAATTTTAGCTTGTGCTTAAAAAATTATCCACCCCCTACCACCCCATAAATAATGACCACTCCCTAATGATTAACCTCGTTTAATAGAAGAAATAGAATTGTTTTTTCAATAGGATTCCGAAAAATATGGGCCAATATAGATTAAATTTTGGAGATCACTTATAAATATCTCAAGAGTCAGCCATATTTGCTGCCACATTTGAATGTTCTAAAACCTACACCAACGAATTATCGACTAACAATAAAGGCAGAGAATAAAGACACGTAAAACCACTTGTACTCCTACTGGTGGACAAAATCCGACTGTTGCCCTTACTTTCAGGGCTGTCAAAACTCTTGAAGCCCTGTGTAAGAGTTCTGAAAAGAACTAGGGTCTTCATTGGCTTGAACAGCCTCTAAAAGACGAGAAAGAACAGCAGCACACTCGCAATGGCCATGTTGGATTATTTTCCCACCGTGACTACTAAGACCAGAATTCCCCGCGCGCATCACACCTTGTGACGTCATTATGCATGAAGTCTGTTCCGTGAAAAGAGAGAAACTTACTGCTTGTGGTAATGTCAGAGATTGAATGAAAGAAGCCAAGGATATAACTCGGAATTCATTGTCATAATGGCGAACGTCACAGTCTTTCTCTTTGCATAAAAACGCCTTCAGTTTGCTGCTGGCTCCATACATATCTCTGTTGGTTAAAGAAAAAAGTTATTCTCGTGGTAAATGAAAAAAAATAATGAAAACCAATTAACAAAACGTTTCCCATGGCTTCACAGAGAGGTTTCAATATCCATCTTATATATACCATCCATTCATCGAATGCATATAGAAAACTCGTTGATCATTGAATACAGTCATACGCCTTCAAAAACACGTTTAAAAACCTGAATAAAATTTCTTCGGGTACTCTTGTTTCATCCTGCAGTTAAGCAGTAACACAACATGACCAACAAGGGATGACGTTTACTGGACCTCCACGCAGGCAGAATAATCGAGTTGATATAGACTTAAGCCCAGAACGTTCAAAATTCAAAACGAGGTTGAGAATGCACGAAAGTTGCCAGTCACGCGACACACTCTTCAAAGGTTTATTTTGTTAATCTAGAGCTTGAAGTGTCCCTCGGAGGAATGCGTGACTGCCAAGTCTCATCCTCGTTTGACTGGGTTTCATTTAGTATAAATGAAGTTGATTTAGCATGTCCTTGTATCCGATTTCGGAGTTATTGTTGTATTCATTTGATACCGTAGTAATTTAATGACGTCATCGTCCAAGAAGTCATTTCACATACTTTGGAAGTTTTGTTGATAAATAAAACTTGAATGAGTCTCCATAAGCAAAAGCTACTTCCAAAAGATTCCGATGATCTAAAGGGAACGACAAGGGGTATGGTTAGGTTATTAGTTAGTAATATATAATCCTTGAGGGTTTTTTTGTTATACTAAGCCATTAAGGGCTTTGAGCTGGCAATGAATTCAATTAGTTACTGTACGATTAGGCTCAGATATGGTTTACAACTAGGTTGTTTTTCTTGTCATAAGCTGTTTTAAAACTAGAGATGAGTCTGAACGTATTATGCGTCTCCGATGTAATTCGTCTGGTGCAACGAATTACAGTATCAAACGAATAAGCATCTTCGTTGTCCTTCATCACTATAAAGACGGTTATCTTTATTTGACTCAGTCTTTTTGTGAAATGCGTGGTCTTTTAATTGTGTATCACATTGACTATGAAATCAGAATTCAGAAACCAAAATGCAAGAATGTGCATGTCAGCGAGTCTAGGTTTCAACATTCCCCATGCCCCCAGGACACAATTAGTTCTCACATATTCTGAACTCGTCCTACCACCCCTTCCCCATTCCCCTACTTTTCCCATCCCGCCACTGTTATATAACCTTTTATTAAAAAATTCTTTTCCACCTTTCATTCCAATTTCTTTGACATTCGTCAGTATGATATTTTCCTTTCCTTTTGAATCAACTAGAATTTTTTTGAGATCATCTTCAGTTTGCACTACAATCAGCTCATCCTTCAACAAAAACCTATATTAAAGATGGAAACGTGAGCAACAAGGTCAAAGAAGGTTGCAATTGGCTCCAAAAGTGACATATGCATGTAAATATTGCAAGCAAAGGATGGGCGTCCTTCAATATTTCCAATATCGCATTAGGATTGGTTAGAAATTAGGATTCGGTTTTGGATTAGGATTATATGATTGTACTTAAAGTTGTTAATATGGGAATATGCTCGTAAAATTAATCCAGTAAATTGACGGATAAAAAGTATTAGTGCATGCATGAACAATGACAATTCTGGCGAGATTGATTTCTCTGTTTGACTTTGCTCAAAACGTCCTATTCAGCATAAAGCCCATTTTCCACTATGCGAATTTCGCGCGAAGCGAAAAACAAATCTTGAGCATCAGTTCCTATTTTTTCACTGTTCGCGCGAACAAATTCGCCTAGTGGAAAATGGGCTTTAGCAAAGCTATACATGCATGCTGGCAAGAAATAGACAGCTTAAGCAAGCGACGAATTTGACAACACGGACAAGTAGAGGTGTGCATCGGATCGGATTGGACGTTTATAATCCAACAATTGGCTAATGCTTAAAATCCGATCCGAAATTGTCTAATCCGAATCAGATCCGATCCGAGCTTTGATAAAGCATTTTGATCCGATCCGATCCGAAGAATCCTTTAATAAAATAAATTTCTCATTCAAGTTGAAATATTTAACCAAATAAATATAAAAGCAAGAAATACATGTCAAGAAGCTGACAAAGTGACGTCCAATTGAAGTATCAAACGAATAATGCAACGACAACCGCGATAATGCTATGATAAATGCATGGATAATTAATTCTTGCAGCGATAATGCGTGGATAATTAATTCATTTTATTTCGAATATCGAAGTCCGATCCGATCCGACTATGAAACAACTTTATCAATCCGATCCGAAATGTATATTTTAGTTCCGAAATCCGAACGAATCCGATCGGATCGGATTCGGATCGGATTTGCACACCTCTAGTGTCAAGGTCCAGACACACCGGACGCGATTCGACAACGCGACGCGATTTTTCGATTTTCACTGACCGATAACTTTGATCCTAGTTTAAATTTTCCAAATATTGAGAAGCGCTATAACATTTTGAGTTATTTGGTCTACATATCTTTCAAAATTTGTTCTAATTGGCTGTTTTACTAACTTTTAAAAACTAAAAAATCGCGTCGCGTTGTCGAATCGCGTCCGGTGTGTCTGGACCTTCAGCAGTGCGTCTCTGAATGCACAACGAAATGATGTATATATAATTCTCAGACCATAAACAATCGACAGGAAATAAATAATGTCCTCGCAATTCTTTATGCTCAGATCATAAATACGGGAAAAATATTTTAAAATTATAATTTCATAATACGATTTTATTTTTATCTTTTTTTCCTTTAAAAAATTATACCACGGCAAGTAAATCGTGCAGCTGTACGTTTTTTAAATAAATGAACAAAAGGTTAATTAATTTTAGAAAATAATATATATAACTAGCTAATGTGCATATTAATACAGCATAGCCACCGCCACAGCATGTAATTCTAGTTGTTTCACTCTTTCGATATCATATCAATAGACAACCTTGGTGTATAACATATCGTAACAGGTCAAATGTGCTCTATACACTATCAATTATGAAGACATTAAAACAAGGAACGCGTAGTATACATACAATTTAGAGATAGAAATGGATGCAGACTATACTAGGAATTAAGCATGCATGCAGTATGTGTATGTTTAATTTAAATAACATTTTAAATTTTGATTCATTTTTTGCGATGGATATTACTGCTCATCGAGAGCATGTGACGTTCGCAAAGTCCTTTACAAAGACGTCATTTTTATTTCGATTTTTACTCGCGCAATAAAGCTATATAGGGAAAAAATTCTGAAGCGGACTTGTGGCAGGTCCAGTGTAATTGCATCAAAATTAAAATATTTACAAGACCCACTGTTAGAAATGGGCGCAGATTCACTGGAAAAAAAGTTGAAAATCCATAGAAGGTCATGGAATGGAAATTGCATGGACCTTTATTGGAAATAGAATGGATTTTGATTATCCATAATAATTGTATATTTCCATAGTATCGAATATAGTATCGAAATAGTATGGATATACTATGGAATTAGTGGTGCAATTGCAAATTTCGTAGCATGGATTTCGTAGATTTTCCCAGTGATTGGTAAAAACTATCTGGAAAAATAATTTTTAAAAATCTCTCGGACTGATGATGATTCTGCAACAGAAATGAAACATCCCACGTATTTCAAGAGAAATGTACTTAATTGGCTGAAATTCGCTTGTAAATCCCGTTGGCTCAAAAGCTCATATGGAAGAGCGGCGGTATAAACCCCGATGGTGACGACACGAGATCGAATCCGGCGGTAGAGAAGATGAATCAGTGATTTCTTATTGCAGTGTCAAAATTGACATGAGATCGAGTTTGGCGTAGGATGACTATACAATCAAATTAAAACACTGTATGCACGTCTAGCTTCAAAGCAAGTTTTAGTTGTTATAGGAAAACATTTCGTACATGCATATAAAATGAACGTAATTCTATAAAACTCGTTTTCAATCTCTGTTGTCTCGATACAACGACAATCTAGAAACCCGGACACGCGAGTTGGAAACCCGCAAGCAGAGGCGTAGCCAGGGCTGGGGGGCCCGCCCCCCCCCCCCATGGCAAAATTTTGGGCCCCCTCTGATAAAATCTATTGTATAAAAAAGGGAATCCTCGATTATATAGCTTCATGCTGTCAATAATGCAAAAATTCTGTAGAATATATGCTTTGCTGCGCATCGGTGTTCAACCTAAAATCTTGTTCGCTTATTTGTGGCACACAGCTTGAAACACATACCTTTTCTAACCCTAATTATTTCAATATGGGTTTTTTACCAGTGAATTTTTAACGCGGGCTCGGCGGGCTCAATTTTGTCGGAATCTTCGTGGTGAAGCATCGGAAAGCAATTGACATTTGTAATGTTATTGTCCGGAAAAATTTTTTACCCAAAAAGTTGTCGACGGGGGGGGGGGGGATTTAAAATGTTGTGGTGCGAAAAATTTGTTGGCCCCACCTGGGTTTTTGCTGGCCCCTCCTGACCAGAAATCCTGGCTACGCCTCTGCCCGCAAGAGAAAACACATTTTTTCGTTGCTCTCTGTAACATGAGGTTCAATAAAATAATACTTCGAAAGTTCCTTTGTAGACAGAAGTCCCTTTTTCTGTTACTTTCCGGCAATTTAATTTAATAATTCATAGAATAAAGTTGTAAATTACGTACCGATGTAAGATGTTGGCCACAATGGAATGTTCATTATTAAGTTTCTTAATTGGAAATGATCTTTGTAGCTTTTCATCCCTGTACAAAAAACAGGATATTTTTATTTAACATTACTACTAATAAGTAACTGTAAGTTATGGAATTACATGAAAAATAACTAAATGACTAAAAAGATTAAGTCGTTGCCATTTCTTTTTCTTCGACCATTAAAGATTGACGATAAATAGCTTCGTTAATTGTTCTGGTTTTACAAAAACTAAAAAGTGATTTCGCTTGCATGGCATTTTTTCAATCTCAAATTTTAGATTTTGCTTGAGAAGTGTATCGCTCTTATCATTTGATAAATGTTAAATTTTAGATCTAGTACAGTAGTAGTAATGATATAAAACATCAAAAATAAGGTTTAACCATTTTGGCTTAAACGCAGAATATGTTCAAAAGGCATTTCGAATTTTTTGTTACAGTGTTTGCTTTTATTCGGATAAGAAATTATCAATTGTGCAGATATCAAAGTGATAGTTTTCATTCCACGAACGCACAATGTTACAAATAATAGACTTTTCCATGATTACGTCAAACGCGGATGTAATTTCACTAATTTGTGAGAAACACAAAAACAAGGATGTAGTATGTGAGTCAGGATGTTCAGATAAAATTCAGAAATTGACGGCAGGTCGAACATTTGACGATTCTTTGTTTCAATGATTATTGGTGTACTCGTCTTTTTTTGCGTTTATAATACGGCCGCGTATGTTTAGTTATATGCTTGAGTAGTAAATCACAGAACTAGGTTCGTCAAAACGCAAAGAAAAGCCGAGTTTTGGGGGCAGAAATCAACATTACACGGATCCAAAATATCCGTGCAGGATGAAGTACCTGCCCTCAATCAAACGAAAAAGGAGCCAATGTGCTTGCACTGATCTTAGATCAGGCGCTATTCACGTGAATGCCACGTATCGTATTTATTTCGTATGACATTTAAAGTTCTCTAGCTGTCTATATTAGGCTAGCACATGTACGCAATGCGTACCTATTTTTAACAATTCGTAATGCAAATCGTTTTCTAGCTAGCAACCAAATTTCTTGTAACAATATTTGCATTGCGAATTGTCGTTTAAAATTTGTCCCGTGTAATATCGCATTAAGTGTTTAATTAATATCCGCGTTTAACGTCACTTTGAAAAAAGTCTATTGCAAGTGCGCCCATGGTTTCCATTAAATTTAGTCGTAAACATATCAAGGGGACAGATGTGAAAGAGTGTTGATGTATCTCTACAATCAATGAAGGCTGATTTGCATATACAGCACACAAAAGACAATCACATCGTCGAACATGACTTGGTGACCACAGGACTTTACGACCAATAGGAAACCTCGGTTTCGTAAAGCTAGACGACTTTAAAAACAGTGAAATCAGCACTGAATGATCATATCATAAACATCCACTGAGTCAATTTCTCTTATTGATAAGCCTAGCGCCTATAGCTAGTATAAAATGTTGTAAAGAAGTATAGAAAATATATACCTAAATACAAACAAACTGGGATCAGATGGTTCTGAGCAGTACTTGTGGTTTTCAGTGGAACAATTCACCTGTAAGATAGTAGAGTTAAATATTACAATATATAGTATTACCTGAATTTCTTGAACATATCCTCTATATCCTCTACACTCACTTGGCATCATCACATATCCGCAATTGTTGCAAAGCCAAACAAGTTATCAGGACTGCTTAAGCAAACTTGCCCACTGTTAACTGATATTCAAATGAGACGTACATTATACTTAACTCTTGTCAAGTCACAGTTATGTTATGCTACCCAAGTTTGGTTCCCGGCGCAGGATATGTTTCAAGCCAAGCTTGAAAGAGTACAGAGGCGAGCTACCAAATGGATCTTCGGTTACAAAGGGAACGAAATGTCTTACCATCAGTGACCGCAGACGCTCCACTTATTGCCTTTATGCTATGACAGGGAAATCAAATAACTAACCATTTTCTACAAGGCCTTATATGGTACATCAACGTGAACGTCAATGAATATATTGCATTTATAGGCCATGGTTAGACAAACACTTTCCAGGTATCCTTTCATAACAGGATTGTCAAACTCTGATTACTGACTCTCTGATTACTACCCCATGACCACGAGCTCCACAGTCTACGAAGTTGTCGTGGTGGAGCGCCTTGTGTACCTCAATGATCCTGAGAGCTACAGTATGTTGGTTGCAGCAACTGCTCTCGTCAGTCCGATATGTGTCATGCCAAGACATGTCAGACTTATACACATATATCTACCAATTTAATAACGGCTTTGGGTACCTTGGGCTTGAAATTAAAAGTCACATAGTCACCAGCCAAAAGTAAGTACTACGCAGATTGCAAAAGATCCGCGTACTTAAGTGTTACGTGTCTGACAAAAACAGAAGTACCAGATCGTAATATTGGCGTACCTCCGGTACGTATATAAGTACGCGTTTTATCGCACCTTGAATCCGTGACTATAGAAACTAACTTTCATGAAGAAGACAAACGTTTCAAAAGCACACTAAGATTTTCACAACATTCGCATTACAAGATGTCATAAAGTTTGCGTTGGTTGTTTAAACAGCTATCGATCTTGAAATTAATATATATGTATACCGTAGTTCTACAAGGTATGGTGACCATCTAAATTATTTGTTACTAATCACAGGTTACTGGTCATGAACGTACAGTATCTTCCGGGCTGAGTTCCCCTAAGAGGAAATATGATCTGAAATTTCATCTGAGCAGAGGAGTGATAACAAACAGCTGGTGATCTCCAAAAACTAATTATCAACTTTCAGTCTTTAAGAAAGGATGCAGGAAACCGAAGATATTCAGTCGGAAGAAAATGACGTCAAGTCATTTTGGTGGTTGGAAACAAGTGACGACCATGCAGAACTACAATGGATAAATTGTCAAAGTATCTAGAAAATTGATCACGTGAAAATATTGATAAACCGAATGAAACGATAACTGTTGCTGTCAGAGGAGGTATTGAAGAGGTGTGCCCAAAAAAAACCGTGGGAAGATGTACAACTACAAGACTTAATAGACCTTTTTAAAAAGTCTGCCTTGTGACGTAGTTTGCGGATAAAGGAAAACCCCGCACAGCCATTTAGCTTGTCTGATTGGCCAAATGATCGTATTTATCCGCAAACTACGTCACAAGTCAGATTTTTAAAAAGGTCTATTAAGGCCCATTTACACGATACGATTAGTTGTATACGATTGTCATTCTGACGAATGAAAACGAGTGCTAAATGCCACGTTATTGCTTATTCGCTAATGGCGAAATTTGAAATGTGACGTTTGCACGCGTGTTTATTCGATCACATACGCCAGAGTAAGAATCGTATACAATTAATCGCATCGTGTAAATGGGCCTTTAAGGACACTTCTCCCAGTGAGACAAGGTAATAGAGTAAAAGATCAAGGAAAAGGAAAATGTACTGAAAAATAATTCACTTTTCTGAACCGGCTGATAACACCAACTCTGTAGCAATACCAAGAGAGATCGAGAAAGAATTTTTCACGGCAAAGAAATTGACAACAGTCAAAATAGGATCCAACTGAGTTTTCAATATCAAAAATGATCGCTGCACGTGTATCAAACCTAGTAAATGACACAAGAATTGAGGTGAACTAAGATCGGTCAAAAAATGCAAAAGAGATGACAGACGTATGTATATTCATTTGAAAACATTCAAAAACACCAAAAGCGCTGGGACTGACAAAGGTAAAGACCGAGGATTGGAAACATAACACTCAGACTGCTAATCACCTTGGTTTGGGCGTATATCCATGTACTAATCCAATCATTAGCCTGCACAGGCTAATACTACGTGAACTGCACCAGCAAGGGCCCGATGCATGGCGGGCAACGTTTAAAGTGTAGCATTGATATATATATATATACACTGGACAAGCCCCTCAAATACAAGTTCAACACGTTACTAGGTAGCTCAAATTTTGAACGTGTAAACTTCATGCAAGCATCTAAAGTTAGATTGCTTCTCCACAAGGAATAATTACTGCACTATATCACGCTATAAAAGAGCATTTTTTTTATTTATTCCTGTAATAGAATACCTTGCTAAGTGCCTGCTTTTCAATATTTTTAGCTCCATTGCTACAGGCACTATGGTGATGCCACCACATGTTCTAGAGCTGAAGTGCCAGATTCCTGAAACATATTTGGTATTTTGGTATGTACTTTGTACATACATGTACCAATGAAAACAATGCTGGTCAACCAAAGGATACTATTTGCAAAATCCGACACCCCATACTTCTGTGATCCTTGGATAAATATAAGTTGTAACCAAGTATTTATTAAGTTGTATATAAGTTTAGAACCAAGGTGAAAAGATTGACACAACTGAAAGATGTTGGCTGCATTCATTAAACATCACTCTAACAACTGAGGCAACTACTCCAGCTGTAGAATTTTTAACTAAAGATAGAATGAGCAGGCAATATGAGCCATGCAAACAATTTCCAGTGGTGTCAAGTCATGAAGCAAATGTACTTCGTTACTGTACTTGAGTACTATTTTTGAAAAGTTAGCATGTAACAAAGTAAACTTTTTCTGGAGTACTTTTACCTGGAACGAAGTTGTTTTAAGAAGTAAGGCCCGTTTCATACGCCGTACTTCACATGTACCGAATACATTAAAAACAATAGATAATGAGGCATTTCAGCTCATTACCTATTGTCTTTAATGTATTCGGCACATGTGAAGTACGGCGTATGAAACGGGCCTAACGTTTTAATTAGTTCGTTATTTTCATTTTGTGGCGAAGTATTTCGTTACTTTCTAACTTTTGTATAATTTTACGTGATTTACTCCGGATTTATTTTAATTTTGAGATAGGTAATAAGACCTCTACATGCGTCTGGGATCTCTTGTTTGTGGCTTACTTATAAGCATCATTTATTTAATGGATTTCTTATATCTTCAACGGGGTCTGCAAAGTAGGCCCTACCATGAAATATTGTATATTAGGTGGATCCATATACTGTGTGCGCTGTTTTGTGTCTTTTGTATATCAATCCATTGGAGATGCCCCCCCCCCCAATAATAATACTTTACTTTAATTTACTTTTTACTTCAAGTATTTTTTAAGGATACTTTGTACTTTTTACTTAAGTATGTTTTGCCTCCAGTACTTTTTATTTTTACTCTTACTCAAGTCGTTTTATTGTTAATTACTTCTACTTTCACTCGATTACAAATTCATAGTAATTTAGGCACCACTGACAATTTCATGATTTTTTTATTAAGAAGTGGCTGCATGGATCAATCTCTTGTGCACAGGTCCCTTTTTTATGTTTAGAATTCTATTGGCTCAATTTAAATGGTAGTAAACAGGCTGGACCAAACTTGGGACAAGGAAAGATACAGTTTGTGTGGCCGTAAAGGTTACTCAAAATATGTCAAGAATGATGTGATCAATATCAAACAGTTTAATTATAATACATTGGATAGTATTTTAAAGATTAACAATTTAATTGGTCGATTTGAACAGGAAGTTAATTATGAGCATTTAAGAAACTTCCACAAATTCCTGATTTATTTAGCATAGGGGTTGGTGAAAGCTATGAATTACATTTTTCTGAATGTTTTTATTAGCACAATTGCAAACAAGGAAATGTTATTCACTCACTGTTTTCGTTCACTGTTTTCATTCACCTCTGTGCACATATAAAAATGCTGTATATTAAGATTGTTTTATATGAAGAAGTTTATGGTATTCACATATTTGAGAGTGGTAAAGGGTATTCAGTTCCATGATAGAGCCATGAATTGCCAATATTAATTATAAATTTTTGTGTCTGAAACGTGAGCTGTGACGCCTAAAACTGATTGCTGGTAAATTTTGTCCATGAAACATTAGAGTTTATAAAGTAAAGACTGGATGAATAGTGAGAATACCAAACAGAGCAATGATACATTTGGATACTGCACGGCACAGGACTTAGAGACTGCAGTCAACAGATAGATTTTGTCTCTCTTGCGGACTTGTTCACAGAGGAGTTAGTTCGGTCTGCCAGAATCCACGATTATTACACAATTGGTATAAAAACTGACTTTTCAGTGCAAACTGGACATTAAATGGTCCACACTAGGGAGGCCCTGTTAGGGTTTTAGGATTACAGATTACCGGTATTTGGCATTTTTGGGCAGGATTACAGATAATTGCTGGTTAAAAAAAAAGATTATGGATTATTTAGATAGGATTTTAGGATTATTGATATGCAAAGATAATCTATTTTTGCTATTGAAAATAAAAATAAGAGGTACAATTTGCAGTTTGTAAGAGGTCATAAGATGCCAGTCAATATCAACATGCGGGTTGGTCAAAGTAATCACAGAATAGGTCTACAAAGCAGCTAGGACAATAGACAGGTTCAGATTTGACTTCCACTACCACTACCGCTACATTTGACGGCTCCATGGGTAGCGGTTGCAACGGACTGTTTAGACCTGTTCAGATTAGACTTCTCCCGACGACAATAAATCGCTTTGTTACGGTCCCAAAACAAAAACTTGCGACGATTTCCTCATGCTCTTGCAGTTACTGCGCATGCGTAACACATTTAAGGTAGCGGTAGTGGTAGTGGAAGTCAAATCTGAACCTGTCTAATATTTAGTTGTTGAAAGTAGTATCTTAGATCAACATCTTCCTGTACAATCTGAGACTTGAACCTCTTCCTGTACAATCTGGGTTGGTTTTGGCCTGTGGGGTGTTCTGCCCCCGGTAGTGTATTGGTTTGTTCAAATATATTCTTGATATTTGCAATTGATGAACAAATAATGATACTGTACCTTGCCAAACTGTACTCCATAAGAGCCTAAGCTGTGAGCTGATTGGGTATACTCTTCTATAAATAACGGGTATTTCGTCTGTGCATCTGAAAAGGAAATTTTAATATAATTCATATATCCGTGATAATATATAGGCCTTTGATAATTTATAAGTGATGCAAACGACAAACACTTCACTAAAACTATAACGTACCTTTTGTCTCGAAGTAAATTACTCTAGTATCCAGCGTTTTGACAAAATCATCGATCTCATCTGATGCTAACTCGACAATGGAAGCACGGCTAACTATAGTCTGTACATTTAAAATTATCAACACAACTATGATTTTTGAAACTAGCATGTTGTATAAATGATCAGAAGAAGGGACATATGTGCGATAACAGTAAATGAACACAACACAATGCACAAAGCTTATTATGAATGAAAATTCAAGATTTTTGTTTTATCTGGTTATTTATAAGTCGCAGCCAGAGTCGTGGACCAATAGAATTCCGAGTAATTCCGAGTGTAATGAGATGCACCTTTAATTTTGTTTCAGCTCCGCGGTGTCTTTTTCGACTTCCGCCGAGGTTAATATTCAACTGCTGTTTAGGAATATTAAAAATAGCTTTAATTTAAAAGCCAAAAGGCAATTAATATTTAGAATATTAATCTGCGCGTAGGCATCCGCATGGGTCCAGTGCGTTGGCCCAACACAGTCTCCGGGATAAATAGATGAATAGCATCATTTGGGAAACGCACCGTACCGGAAGATTACTTGCGGTTAGAGCTCGACAAATGGCGGCCTCTACTGTATACTGTAGTTCAGTTGGTCAGAGCGCTGCACTGGAATTGCAGTGCAGCAGGTTTCCCAAATGATGCTATTCATCTATTTATCCCGGAGCATTTTTCGCAACTACTCCTGGTTAGGAAATACCAGATTTATTTCTCGTGTTGAACATGATATCTCACTCGTTCGCTGCGCTCACTCGTGAAATATCATGTTCAACACTCGAAATAAATCTGGTATTTCCGCGCACCCATGTATTATTCTCTATTTATTTCATGTTTTATTAAATATTTTATTGCATACTAAGCGGCTGATTACATGGAGCTGTGATGGATCCAGCAAGGTTTTTTATAGGGGGTGCTGGGGAGCAGCCAAGCTCACTGAACCCAACACTGGCCAGCAGCGTACTGTCGTGAAAGTGTACCTTGTAGTTTCACGTGCTTACAATTTACCGATACATTGAATAAGTATAATTAGATAAAATATAAATCCCCGACTCTCTTCATATACTGTGATTAAGTGAAAGACAAAATGGAAAATTTTCACTTCAGAATGTTTGATTGCCAGTTTGTAATTTTTATTTTCATTTAATATCAAATACTTACACTCTGTTACAGTATAATGTATAGACGTTTGCAGCATAATTACTAAAAAGTTATTAATATTGGACTTTAGAGTATTTTGAACTAGTGCTGTGCCTGTGGTGCTGCCTTGAATTCCAAAACGTAAGTCAGTCTTACCCATTCGCAGGCTAAAACCCATAGAGAGGCCTGCGGAGGAAGCCAATTAGTCAGTCTAAGGTGCTGTTTATATGATCTCGGGCCTACTAGGCACACCCTACCCCCCGAGCTACCCTGGGAGAGGCAAAATTGTATTCATTATATATAACATTTAAACGCAAGTGTTTATATGGAAGGTTTTCAACTCGTCTCGGCTGGCACGGTCACCCTGGTGGTAGGGACACCCTGTTTACGAAACAGGGTTACCCTTGTGGGAGGGACAATTTTTGTCCATGTAAACAGTTTGCGTTGATTTGCCTCGGCCTCCACGGGCAACTTTTACCTACGCATGCTCAATAGAAACTTTTTTAGTCTATTAAGACTGATAACATACTTTGAATACCTCAAACATTTAAAAGTAAGATTTTGTTTAATTTTTTGCACACGCAACCTCCC